CAGCATCCTCAGTTTGATCTCCCCACCTAAATCTTTTTGCCTGGCTATTAGCCAATCAGTGTTTTATTAACAATAAGCATAATCCACAGCACAGTTTTATAAAACACTGAAAGTTGGAAAGTGAGATCAGTTTGGACCAATGAAAATTACTACACGAGTCAGTCATGGTGGGCCACTTCTGTAATCTCAGCAAGTAGGCTGAGGTGGGAGGTTCATGGGTAGCCAGTCTGGGCTACAAAACAAGACCCTGTCTGAAAGAAAAAAGGGAGGGAGGATTCCAGCACTCTAAGAGATAAGATGAGCATTGGACACATTAGTATGTAAACACTAACAAAAAAGAAAGTTATTAGAAGGAGGTCTTGAGACACATTATGGGGAATAGGTGGGAATTCCTTGCTGAGCAAACAAAACAATGTAGAAAGAATGAGGCTGAAGGTTTTGGACATTTTGTTTTGAACCAATAACGGATTATTCTTGCTATTCCTTGTCATTTTCATTCCGTTTGAATCACATTGGATTTTTAATAGAATGAAACTGGGCCGCTAATGTTCTGCCCAGGACTAGGGAAGGTAGCAAGTGAGGCTGCAGCAGACGATGAGAGATCAGAGGGAGTTCGCAGGCAGATGGTGGGTAGGTGTTAAATTAAAAGGGGCTAAGCTCCACTCTGTAGCCCAGGCTAGCCAGGAACTCGTAGCAATCCTGCCACAGCCTTGCGAGTGCTGAGATTACAGGCCCGGTATTCCGCGATGCTGGGGACTGCACCAACTGAGACACATCCCTAGCGTATGGGGGGGGGGGGTTTGGCCGCCTCAGCATCTCACCTGCGCCTGGATGTAGAGAGACACGCAGCCGAGCGACAGGCGGAAGGGGCGCAGCAGCGACAGGCACCTGACCAGATGCTCCTCTCCAGCAGACAGTTCCTCCGTGTCGATGTGGTTCACGCCAAGGTGGAACTCGATCACTGCAAGCCGCAGCGCCCGCTGCTCCCCCGGGCCCTCGGCGTCCCGCGGCTCGGCCGCGCCCAGGGCCTGGTCCCCCGGCCCGTCATCCGCAGCCCGCTCGTCGTCGTCCTCGGGAGCCGGGCCCAGCAGCGCGCGCACCTCCTCCAGCAGCGCGCGCGCGCCGTATTTAGACTTGTACGGCTCCTTCTCCGGGTTCTTGTGCAGCTCCACCCGCGACAGGGCCAGCGCCGCCTGGAACTTCTCCCGGATCTCCCGCCCCGGGGTGCCCGCCATCACAGCCTGAGCAGAAGGCCGCCTCCTCGCCCGAGGACTAGACACCGGAGGCCTCGGCGTTGCGACACTTCACTTACGACATGTCGTGACTGTGAAGCACCGACCAATGAAGTCGGTTGAGGGAAGCGCGTGACGCTCGGCAGCAGCCAATGGGAGGGCGTGCTGGTCGCCACAACAGTCGTCGTCAAGGAAACGAAGCTGTCAGGGAGGACAGAGCCTTCCGCTGCACCTGGTGTGGTAGGGGCCCTCGCGCTTCATTCCGAGGGATGGATGTAGTTTACATAAAAAATGTTCAGAATTAGAAGGGTGGGATGCAGCTTAAGGGTAGGGCATTTGCCTACCCGGCATGAGACCACGTGTTCGATCCCTAGCTTAGGTGAAATTCAGGATAGGATACTGTTAACAGCTAACTTTGCTAGTTGGTATGCAGGGATCGTTCAGTATTAGTATATTAGGCTATCATTGCCTTAACAATTACATTTGGAGGGAACATGTACCATGAAGTGCATTTAGAGGTCATAGGACAACTTTCAGAAGTCAGTCTTTTTCCACCAGGTGGATCTCAGGGATCAAACAGGTCCTCAGGCTTAACCTCAACAGCATCAACCCACTGAGCCATCTCACACCCCTCAACCCCCCTAAAAATGTTTATAAAGGGTCTGAGCCAGGGATGGTGGTAATTTTCTGTAAGTTTACACATACTTACACCAGACCTTGCTTAAACTTAGCAAATAATAAATTCCTGCTACTTAACTACTTTTTTGAGATGGCTTGCTATTATGTGGCTGAGGCTAATTCAACAGCTCCCTGTTCACCTTCATCACACCCTGCTTCTAAAGTGTTGGCATTTATGGGTGTGCCACCAGTTGGCTCATCTGGGGTTCATTTATCATTATTAATATTTTAAAAAATAGAGTCTATGTAGTTCTGGCTGTCCTGAACTCTCCAGGTAGACCAGAGTCTGCCTCCAGAGTGCTGAGATTAGGAAAAGTCTTGTTCTATAGCTTTCACTGGTCTGGTACTTCCAATGAAATGCAGGCCCTTGAGCTCATGGTATTCTTCCTGTCTTTGCCTCCCACCAAGTGCTGGGATTAGTGTGCCACCAAACCCAGTTTAAGATATAACCTTTTACATCTTTTAAAAAGTTTATTGGCCAGGAAGTGGGACCCCATGCCTTTAATCTCAGCACTCAGGAGGCAGAGGCAGGTGGATCTCTGTGAGTTGGAGGCCAGCCTGGTCTACAGAGCGAGTTCCAGGACAGCCAGGTCTGTTACACAAAGTTGAGAGTGCTTCTTAGACTATGTGAAGCTGAGCTGCAAAGACTGAGAAGAGAAATGCTGCAGAGAAGATGGACCAGCCAAGCCACCTGGAAGAGGATTACAACTGAGGCCCCTGGGAAGGACACTGTTGTTGAGCTATCTACAGGCTGTTGTGTGCTCCAAATACTGAGCTTTGTGAATTGTCATCCATGCTGCAGTGGGCCTATCTTTCAGTCACCTCTGTTCCTGTAAAAGCCCCTAATAAAACTCACTCACCAAGTTGGACTTTGGTGGTATCTGAACCTTCTTGGTTCGTCTTGGGTTCCCCAAACTTCATCTCCCTAGGAAAAGTTTTGTCATACAAAAGTGATAGATGAATAAGAAAAATATGAAACTACATCTTCCATTTCCAATAATGACAATCCTAGCTTTATTAAATTGTATAGACTCTGGGTGTGGTTAATTTTGGTGTGTGCTGATCTTGTTTGCCCAGGTTTTAGTAGTATAAATTCATTGAACCACAAGCCTTCAATCCTGGCACTTGGGAAGCAAAGGCAGATGGATGTCTGTGAGTTCAAGGCCAAATCTGGTCTACAGAGTTTCCAGGACAGCCAGAGCTTTTATTTTTATAATTTGGCTAAGGCTAACCTCTCCCTGATCTATGCACTTCTACCCGCCCCCCCCCATACAGTATGGAAGGGAGGCAAGCCTCTACCAACTGAGCTCCCTTAGCCCCAAGTTTTACTAGATTTTTATACCTAGTAGTCATTGTTACAATATGTCAAGCTATTTTCAGTTTAAAAAACAAAAGCCAACAAAACTGACTATAAAGCATTATCTTTATTATGGCATAATGCTATACAGTAACTCATTTTAACGTAAAAACATTTTATGTACAATGGCAGGAGAAACAATACAGATAGACAGCTTGAACATAGAAATGGGTTACAATTTAAAAGCCCAGAGTTATTTGAAACTGGAAAATATTTACTCTGTAGAAAATAGTAAAAATGATAACATTTCCCAATAACCCTATTTAAGCCAACAGCTGAATTATACATATAAATAGTTTAGATAGCTATGTTTTACTTATGATGTGTAAATGATATTCCTATTCATCTTCTCTCTGTTTGACTATGTTAGATCATTTTCTACAGGCTAATCCATCATCCAAAAAGGTTTCAGCTCCTCCTTCTGAAAACACAGCCAGCATGTCCTTTCATCAGCTTGATATGGCATAAACTCTTAGCCTAATAGTGAAATGTTTCACTAAAGCATGCCCAGTGGTTGGGCAAAAGCAAAACTTAAAAAATAAGATAGTCAACAACAACAAAGAAAAATCCAAAAGAACTCCAACCACAGAGGACAAGATCCATCTAGTCAGAGTTGAAGGGCAAAGCTGGATCTGAAGTGGACTTGGTAGTCAGAGACCTTTGGTGCCTGGTGTTCCGTAAGACCTGTTAGGTGGGAGTGTAAGCACTAACAGGGTGAGCCTGAGGGTCTGTCTCAGTTCATCTACACAACTGGAGAAAATGGCAACGTGTGATTCTGGTTGTCCTTCCAAGCCTGTTCTAAGATTCCCCACACAGAATCTCTAGAAAGGCAAGAGGACCCCACCACTTGGGCTTCTGTGATAGGTAGGATGGTTTCCCAGAGGAAGGACATCAGAGAACTCCGGCAGTTATTACTGGGCCGGGTACCACAGATTCTTCAGTTCCCACAAAGTACCAACTTCAAATGGTATAGCTTGTCTTAGAATTCTCTATTTGGTGTTAACTTTTCGATGGAAAAGTAACCCAACAGAAACAGATCTTATGCTGTGGCTTAAGATCTAGACCACTGAGAAGATTGTCCCATTTTGCCCCTTAAAAGCCCCAGAGCACTCACTAGTACATATATTCCCTCAAAGAGTAATGACTCATGGTCCACCATTCAAAGCAAGGTTCTTCCTCTTGCCTGCCCCCTCTCTTGTGAAGATGAAGAGCATCCTTGTGGCTTCTCTGAAACACTCTCTGGCAATACCGGCTGAGCTCCCTCTTCCCTGAGTCACATCTTGGTAAATCACTCTTCCAAAAGAAGGGCACAAGCAAATACCATGTATCTAGTTTTATCTCTGCCGAAAAAAAACCTAGAGACTCCAGACACTCGGGACTTAACTTTAAAGACACTGGCTCCCATAAGGATGTTCTATATACACCGTCTCAAATGGCTTTTGGAAAGCATTGTTCAGCATCAAACCTCAGCAGACACATACAGACACCAGCAGTTGTTTGTCAGGAGGTCAAGTATCAGGAGGGAGGAAAAAAATCCCTAACTCATGTAGTCCTCCAAAGACTGAGGCATCCCTTAGGGACTTTCTCTGGAGAACACGAGTTCAGGGACTAGAGATGGAGTTTAGTTGTAGGGCATGTGAATGATCCGCATGTGTGAGGTCCTGAGTTTAGGCCACAGTACACGCACACACACAGAGATGAACTTGCAAAGTCAACAAACAAGGACAGGCAGATCTGTGGTTAGCTTTACTTTACTACGTTGGAAAATGCTGCAATGAATTCCTACCCCTTTTCAAAATGAAAAGCTGATGATGGTTAGATCCAAAGCCTGTCTTCCTGTAAGGAATGAGGACTGGACAGATAATCAAAATGGAGGGAAGCACTGGGGGTCTGACAGAGGGAAGGGCATTGGGTTCCAGTGTCTCCATTCCTTCTAGTCTCTACTCACTGACCAAATGCTTTACTAAAACTCCGCTTCTGGCCTTTGTTGCCACCTCTGAAGTTTCTGTTTCCTCCTCGCTGCCCCTGTCCCCTGAAGTTCCTGCTTCCACCCCGCTGTCCTCTGAAGGCACCGCGGCTGCCATCCCGCTGACCCCTGCCGCCTCGATAGCCTTCTAGGGGTCCTTCCAGCTCCGGCTGCTCCGTGGCTACAGAGAGCTGCCAGCGTCTTGAATCATGCCACTTTTCCTGTGGGTAGAAGGTTTATTCCATGGTTTTATTAAATTGGGTAAAGCCACAAGAAAAACTTTTTTGTCATGTCTCCAAGGAACAAGTTGGAAACAGGTGCTTAAAAAGCTGCTAGTGGCTCTTTCCCGACATCTCCCTGAGGAGGCAGACCTCTGTTTTCTGTCTCTCTCCCCCCACTCTCTTCCCAATAAAACTTCCTTCCCATGTGGGGGAAAAAAGCTGCTAGTGCCAAATATAAGGCCCCAAGGTGGTTGGGCCAGTGTGTGGACAGGTCTTCTGGAAAGGTGGCTCTCACTCTGCAGTCACTGCAGCTGTCTGAGGGACACATAGCAACAACAAGTGCACAGAAAGGCATTCAGCAGAGCAGCGGGCCAGACACTGGTACAAGTACAGGGAGGAGCAAGGCAGGCCAGCAGCAAGGCCACAACAAAACAGCAAGACTGTTCTCTGTGGCTCACACTGCTGTCACTCTGCTTTTAGAATGAATACTGTATGATTTGGGTCTACCAACACTAAAACAAACAAACAAAAAAATACCTGTATTTCTGTGACTGCTTCAGTTCGGACATCAAAACACACTCCCTAGAAATCAAAGCAGGAAGAATTAATCCAACTAATACCAGATACTGCTAAATACAAAGAAATCCACAAAGAAAACAGCAGGCACTGAAGCTGTATGAAGCAGGGCTAACTTATTTTCCTGAGGACAGCAGCAGGAGGTGAAGAAATGCTCCAAAATGGACCAGCGCCTGAGCAGGTACCCTTGGCTATTATACTGTGCTAACCCATATTCAGGAAGACACAATGAAAAGCAGAAAATTATATTGCTGATTTCTAGTTTTTCACTTTTCTGTGAGAAATGGTATATAATTTAAGCTGTAAGGTCTTTGATGAGCACTTTCCATATCAGCTGGAGAAGCCACCAACAGCACAGTACCAAACTATTCCTGTAATGCAGTTTGAGCTGCAGTCCTCCCCACCCCAAATTACCCAGCCACAGTACAGGTATCAGGCAGGCGCTTAAAGGCCTAGAAATTCCTTCGTGGGCTTCTCCACACATGGGGAACTCCAGGAACACTGGGACACTCAGGTATCTAGAGAGGTTTTACCCTTGAGTAGGACACAGGGACTGAAGCCTTCATTGTAAGCAATCAGAGGAACGGAAAATTCCCCAGGGTGAACATTAAGAACTCTCATCATTCAGGTCAGGACTCATGTAATTATGTGCAGAACCTGGGAAGCTACACACAAGAGTCAAAGCTAAGTTTAAATGAGCACTGTGGAGGTGAAGGCAGAGTCAGCAACCATGGTCAGCCCCCATGGGGAATAAGGCACAGGGCGTGTGGTATCCTTACAGTAAAGGGTGTGAGCGGTGGCGACATGGAGCTGGTAAGTAGAACAAGTTTACCAACAGCTTAGGCTCATGGCTTCTCTGATCATGCAAATCCTACCTCATAAGCATCCTCACCTAACACTGGGGGCTCTGGGTTTCCACGTAAGGGATCCCACAGTCAAAACTATTTCTCCAATAATACTTATCTACCCCTTTATTCTCACTTTCCCATAAAAGTAAAGTGATATCTGCTCAGCAGTTTAGGTAGAAGACAGCGCCATGGGAGGGGACAAACATCCCGGTTTAACATGCTAACCACCAAACTAAGCTCAGGTCACGGAGGCCACGCACTCACCAATTTTCCTTTGAGGAAGACCATTCCCCTCACTTTCGCATCAATGCCTTCGCCCAGCTGCTCCTTAAGTTCTTTCCAAGCATAACTAATGTTGTGCATTTCAATCGAGCACCGCAGAATCATGGTCACAAAGCCCTTAGGGGAGAAAGGAACATAAAAGTTAATTCTTCAAAACCAGTTAGCAGCATAAACGTTTGTTCTGAGGAGGGAAGTATTCCTAGGATAGTTCTGCTGACAGCATACCACCCAGCTACACAGAGGCCATCTTAGGAAGTCAGTGGGGAGCACTGATTCAGCACCTCGTCGTTAGTTTCCTAGAATGTCTTCACTGGAGGAGACTAGCTAAAGCACTCTACACTTCAACGTGTTGAGACCAGGGACCAGGTGCAGAAATCTGTTCTCTCCTTCTATTATGTTAATGTTGTGGTTGCTGAGACTTGGTGGCAGGTCATTTGCCTGCTGTGTATCACTGGCCCTTCAAGCCATGAGCACTCAGTGCAGTTCCTCCTCTCGATCCACCCCTGGGAAACACTAATATTTTTGTCCCTACTGAGTATGTTTTTAATAAGGACACAGATAGTGCCTTCCTACCTCCCAGAGAAGACAATTACAGAGTTCAAATAAATTCTTTCAGTTTTGCTTATGCCATTTTATAAAGTACCAATACTTTACCGCTTGTGAGTTGATCAAGGAGCGCTGGTCGACTGATGTGGCCCCCGAAATGTGGGCGAGTGCGGCTGCCAGTGCCTCTACAGCTCCCTTCTCCTCAATTAGCTTCTCAGCAGATTGCTTGAAATGACCAATGGCAGTAGGAGGCACAGTATCCAAAAGCCTGTGGTTTGAGAATGAACCCATTAAGAGAATAATTAAGACAAGGAACACTACAGTAACTGAAAATAAATGAGCTTTAAAATGGGCATCAGGGCCAGATGTTGGTGGCGCACGCCTTTAATTCTAGCACTCGGGAGGCAGAGGCAGGCAGATCTCTTTGTGTTCGAGGGCAACCTGGTCTACAAAGCGAGTTCCAGGACAGGCTCCAAAACTATAGAGAAACCCTGTCTCAAAAAACAAAAACAACAACAAAAAAAAGAAAAACACACACACACACAAAAAACCCAAACAAACAAAAAAAGGCATCAGCACAACTAGGGGTGTAGTTATTGGACTGGCACGAAGACAAGTCCCAGGTTTAATTCCACTTCCACTTTATGTGGGTGCTGCCACTTAGCATGTAGAGATAAGGGGATCTGAAGTTCTAGGTCACCTCCTTTGAACAAGTCCCAGGCTTTCTTGGAACAGAAGACTCTGTCTCGGTATGAAAGATATAATGAAGTTCCACAGCACATTTGTTTGTTTGCTTTTATTGTGCTCTTTGGGACAGGGTGTTTCTGCATGTGCCTGGAACTTGCTTTTCAGAGCAGGAAGCCTTGAATTCCAGGTGTGTATCACCATGCCCAGGCCCCACGCGGACAGCAAACAGTGATCAACTTCTGTGCTACTTTTAGAACTAAATGATAGCCACTTATATTCTGAAATTTTAATAAACGCTCTCTGTCAGGTTTAAAGCAGTTTTCTGAGACATTATTTGCTGGAGGATGGCTGTGGTGTTGACAGTAACAAAGCAGCGTATCTGCATGCTATGCAGAGTGAGCTGGACTGGCAGCCACCACTAAAGAACATGTCTCATGAACTTCTAGGACCCGTCTTTTCTTCCTGGTCACCAACCTGTATTTCCCGAACTAGTTAGCATCCCATGATACCCCATCTTAGGCACGTAAAGGAAAACATGCTCTGAAAAAACTCAGCTTGAAAATGTGGTTTGGGGAAGGCTCCCAAGCTCTCATCACACCACCTGCCAGAACTGTCATTGCTCATGGACTCCCTGAATACTCACTACTCATTCAAGCTGTGTGTTCAGTAGAAGCCAACACCCTAAAGTCTCAGGTCAACTGCAGGGACGACTGACTATAGAACCACTCTGCTATGGTTCCCAGATAACCCTATCAGATATGCTCAAGGAACACTTCATCTTCTTCACTCCTGGCCATCACTCTTCAGGCAAGACCTAGCCCGTTAAGGGAAAGTCTCAAGTCACCAAAGGCTCCTGGAAGGTGCTTTTAGGCTCCTCTCCACCTACACACTAATCATTTCCTGAGCTCTGAGTCATCCAGACCTAGCTTGGGGCTGCACTAAGACAACTGCTCATCATTCCAACTTAAGTGCAAATTGTTCACTCTGGTGCCCTGTCCCTTTTCTGTCTGTTATAACACAATCACGTCACACACCCACAGCAGTACCATGTTGCACTCTGAGCTCAGCACAAGTATGTATAAAATAGATTTCAGCTCACACGATGTTATCCCAACTCACCCCCAGATTATAATGTAAAGGGACCACAGCAAGGAATTCTAATCAACTGAAAGCCCCTCTGTCTACAGGATAATTCTACATAGCAATGCCACTACCAATAAAACCATCATGAGATACATTTGATCAATCAATCCTTGCTTCTATCAGTTTTCATTCTACCACATGGGAGTAGTAAATGAAGACTTGAAACGTCATCTGTGATCCCATTCAACCAGGCACAAAGTGGGAAACATCCTTAAAATGTCCCAACACATACCTAACTATTGATAGTTGGCTTCCCTTGAGAAACAGGGCAGGGATGACAAGAAACATGGATATTCTTTCTATCAAGTTGGCTGTTTGGTGAAAATCCAATGGTTGCATTAACTCTTTATAAGGAATACAGAAAAGCAGCAGCATGGAAACAGACCTTGGTGATGGCAGAGAACGTACCTGATGGCGTCTTTGCTGGAGGCTTTTATAATTTCTGTTGCAGATGGAACACCTATCCGTTTAAATTTAATTCCCTATAAGAAAACAAACCACAAACTCATGCACAAAGGTTATTACTTCTGAGATTAACATTTCTTTTTAAAATAGTTTTCCTTTTTCTCAGATTTATTTATTAATTATATATACAGTGTTTTGCTTCAATGTGAGAAGAGGGCACCAGATCCTATTATAGATGGTTGTGAGCCACTATGTAGTTGCTGGTAGTTGAACTCAGGATCTCTGGTAAGCACACCCAGTGTGCTTACCTCTGAGCCATCTGTTTAACTCAAGTAACTTATTTCTTAAATCTGGTAATAAACCACTTTACTCTGTGCCTATCTGTTTCCCAGGACCTTAACAATTATGTTATAGGCTGGCCCTCAATGTGAGACTGATGCTTTTACCATCCTTAGCCTCAGGTTATGGGTTTGAGGATGGAATTGATTCCACAGCTATCTCCCCATCTCTCATCATGGATACCACTTCCCCAATGTAGGCAATGGACTCTCGCTCCTCTCTTTTGTGTAGCAGGCAGTTAAGTGAAATCCACTCAACGCAAGGGGAGCAGCTATGCTTTTCTCAGGAGGAATCATCTATAAATATAACCAATTCTGTAAGGCAATTTAAACTCTCCTCATCCTTTAAAGACAAGGTCTCAAACTCATGGTGATCCCCCTGCTTCAGCACCTCCAGTGTTGTAGGTCCATTTACCACAGCCCAGTTCCCTCTATCCTTTTAATGGTCTCTCCCAACATCCCTTCTCCACACTCTAACCTCAAGTATTTCTGGTCATTTTCACACTACTATCTATGTATTTCAAGTATAATATTATGTATCATTATTTTTCAAACGCAAGTTATATAACAGCCTTCTACCATGGAATTCCAAAGAAAACCCGTATCTAAGACGCCTTCAAGGTCCTAAAGACTAGCCTTGCCTTCAGAACGTAATGTGTGTGAACGCAAGTTAGAAATCACATTACCGCTTTCTGCTCCACTTGCGCTAACTGGTATTCTTCCTTGTGCTGATAAAAGCAGATGCAAACCCCTGTCCTTCCAGCTCTGCCGGTCCGCCCCGAACGGTGAATGTAGGACTCCACATCCTATGGAAATCAAGTGCAGGACAATGAATGAAACTACAAGCTTCAACCTCTCAAACAGTGCTCCCTAGCCTGTGTACAAAATTTCCAAGGATATGTGTATTTCTAAGCTTCAAGTGGCTGCAATTGAAGTATTAAAATTTAATATTACAGTTTATTTAACTCCGTACACGCAAATATTTTTAAAAATTTGCTAATAAGTTAGACTTTTACTATTTACAACAGACTAATGGATAAGGGAAATGTGTATAGGCACAATGAGTTTTACTACATCACAAAAAAAAAAAAAAAAAAAAAAAAAAAACCCAATGATAAAATTTTCAGGAAAATGGAAAGAACCAACTTGGAAGACAAACCTGAATATTCTTTCTGATATGCAGAGACCAACTTCTTTACTGAAAGGAGTGGGGAGGCTATGGAGGTGGGGGGAATATTGAGGTGGAAGGTGGAAAATAGAAATGGGAAGGAGAGATAGGGCAGACATCTAAACAAATTCCCTAAGTCATATCACTATAAGACACTATATAAAAATAAGTTACCAACAGGTTATCATATTCTTCTGGAAGCCTTGAAGATCTAAAGTATATAACAAAAAACTACAAAATTAAATAAAGTCAAGCAAGGTAGCAAATTCTCTATATAGAACTCAAACTATCAAACAGAATGCTGGAATAAAAGTTGTATGTCACCAAGACTGGCAATCTACTGAAAACCACATAAAAGTCAAGGCAATGAAAGAAACAAAAGGAGTAATGTTTAATTCTTGCTTAGGGAAACAAACAAACAAACAAACAAAAAAAAAAAACCTTACCTTTGGTGGACAGCTTTGAACAACCAAGTCAACCTCAGGGATATCTAACCCACGCGCAGCAACATTGGTTGCAACCAAAACTCCGAAACTGCCATTTCGGAAACCTTTCAGGGTGATTTCCCTTTGCTTCTGCGGAATGTCGCCATGTAACGACTGGGCATCCTGTCAAAGAAATAAACTGACCTAAGAATACAAACCCAACACAGCACCCTCCAAGAGGCCAAAGGCCTAAGTCTGGAGATTCTCCTTCTGGAAGCATTACAAAATTAAAAACCAATGATTGATGCCTTCTTACATGAAAAAATCTGCAAATTGTCTGCAGCCCTCAGTCTGATGTCAACTGTTTATAACTATACTCTCCAAGGCTGAGAGACCACCCAAGAGTAACTAACTATAAGTGATGTATGTAAGTGTAGATTTACATGTGAACCAGGACTGACTGACTTCATACACCACGACCATTAGGGTGACTGAAAAACAGAATGAAAGCAAGTCCAAGGTGAAGACTTACTGATGACTCAGCCTTTGGGGCATGAGAAGAACCAACCTGTTTTATGCATGTATTCTGTGACAGTTCCTGGGCTTCTCTCTTGGTTTCACAAAAGATGATAGTGCGCCCTTGATGGCCACTGTACACTCTGATTACATCCCCAATCACCGCTGCCCTCTCACTCCAGTGACACTTAATCGCCAAGTGCTTTGAAGAGAAGAAACAGCATTTAGTAAAGCCTGGCTGGGACCTCACAGGTCCCTTCTCAATGCTTAAGTCTAATGCCGTGGAACGGAAGTAAATGCAGGCCTTACGGGGCTGTCTGCTGCCACCACTGCTTAGAGGGAAAGAAGGAAGCTAAATAAACCAAAGTAAAGATCAACATGGTCTATCCCCAGGCCTCTCGCCTTTTTTCCAAAGAGCATCTGGATTTTTTATGCTCTAATGTAATCTGCAGGAAACCAAGTAACTGACAAGAAGGGCCTGTGTGCACTATGCCCCTTCACTTTAAACACCCATACAGGTCTGCTCTTGGATGAAATGAATTCATCTAGGTACCGGAGCCTAAAATGGAACAGATTAAAGATGCAGCAATTGCTCTGCTGCCCTCTAGAAGCTAAATTATAAATGTAATCATTTTTATCTAATTCAAACACAAGGTTCCAAGTTAACTCTGAAATCAGTACTAGATGGTGAAATCCAGAAAGCAGACACCATACATAAAAGAGAAAAATGTATTTTACTTGGCTCTTCATAAAGACTCAGTATTTATCTAGAAAAAGAGCTTGTATTTGCTAGTCTTATAAATATCAGACAGGAAACAAAAGGCTTTAATACTAATTCCGGCAACTAAATGAATCATTTACCTCCACAGTTATGGCTGCTTTCTGAGTCTTTTTACCAATCAGGTCCACCTGTTCGTATGTAGATTTCATGTATTTCTTAGCAACATTAAACACCCAATGAGGGCAAGTTGCAGAGAAAAGCAATGTTTGGGGGTTGTCTTCAGAATCTTGGGGGGGAAAAAGAAGTCAGTGTGAATAATCCAAACAAGCCTGCATAGTTCTCCACTTTACCTGGCATCTCCAGAGTACACCTTGATTACCACTGACCACTGGTGGCCAGCCATGCATCAAAGATACAAAAATAAAGACAAAGACTGAAATAATTTGTCATTGTAAAGAACACCTAAATGTTCAAAGTATGTGAAATCAATCTATTCCGTTTTTTATCCTTTGCCTTCCCTCCCTTACACTCCCTGTTTCATGAAGGAGGCCCACCGACTGGACAAGCAATCCTTGGAGTCCAGTTACCCAGCAGCATGGACCTCTAATTAAATAACCTGGGACAAAACCCACAACAGCTTAGTATTTTAAGAATCCAGAATCAGAGGCTGGAGACATGACTCAGAGGTTAACCCACTGGCTGCTCTTCCAAAGTTCCTGAGTTGAATTCCCAGCAACCACATGGTGGCTCACAACCATCTGTAATGAGATCTGGTACCCACTTGTAACATGCAGGCAGAACAATATATACATAAGTAAATCTTAAAAAGAATCCAGAATCCAAGACTGGGGCACAATGCATTGACAAAGCCTTCAGCTCAATCCTCAGCAACCCCAATGGACAAAGGCAATGTATCAGTGTATCTGGTCATAGGAACACTATGGTATTGTTCTCAGGAGCCCCAAAGGGTACAAGCTGGTAGAAGCAGTTCAGTGCCCTTTACAACTGGATCAGTAGATCTACTTATGGACAGAGACCTATGTCACAGAACCAATTCCAAGTATTGCAGAACCCCAGCTGCTTAAAGCCTCTGTAAGCAGAATCCTCTATATGAATAAAGGTGAAAAGTGGAAGATGGAAAAATAAATCATGCCCAGTTGCTTGACAAGGTTCGAATATCTAACAGCTGATTTATAATTAGTACACACACACACACACACACACACATCAGGAATACACTGAAAGCATTGAAGCAGAGTATTGAGCTGGCAGAAAAGGAAAAAATTTCTCCTCCATGCTTTCACCAATTATAGAACAAACGATCGCTTAAAAAATGTCAAGTCTTTGCCAAAAGATGGTTTCAGCACTCAGGAGGCAGAGGCACGAAAATCTCAGTGAGTTCAATACCAGTCTGGTCCACAAATCAAGTTCCAAAATGAGGGCTACACACACAAACCCTTGAAAAACAAAATTAAGTAGTAATAATGTTTTTAAAAATCTAAATTTCCTTGAGCAAGTACTCTTATCTCCTGGAAGACAATTTCACCACAATCCTACCTTAGGTCCTTTAAATTGGGGCTTACCTTTCTTGTATGCCACACATAAAATTTCTTCCACTTGATCAGCAAAACCCATATCCAACATCTGGTCAACTTCATCCAGGACAACATGTTTAAGTTTGGTGAGATCTAGCTTGCCATTCTGCAGGTGGTCTTTAATACGACCTGGGGTCCCAACCAGGATATCAATCCCACTCCGTATGCGCTCAACTATATATATATATATATAAAAAAAAAAAAATCCAGTAAAAAGAACTGCCTTGTTTTAAAATTCCTTTTATCAACACCAAGTATCCATTTAAATACATTTTCATTCTAAACTCTTTACCAGACAGCTATTAAAGTAACATGCTGTAAGTAATGACAGTATCAATCCTGAAGGTGAGTTCACTCCAGTAGGATGTGAGGTCAGCAGCATACTAACAATAGAAAAATGATTCACTAGGAAACAGTAGCACAATAAACGACTTTCTGTTTGAGTGGCAGAAAATGTCAAAATTTTCCAAATAGCAAGTGACAATCTTAGACAAATACAAACTTTGGGGAGTTGGGAGGTTATTAATATGTAGTTCAGAATGCTCTTGAACTCAGTCTTCTCCCTTAACTTCTCAAGTGTGTCACTCACTATGTGAGGCTAAGAAATAAGAACCTTCTGTAGAGTAACTAGGTGTAAGACATTGAGACAACAGAGAAAGGCAAACACTTTACTAAGGTATAGAAACACTGGGAAGACGGGGCTCCACTCACTGGGCACCTTACATTATCTAATGCAACCTTCAAAAATAGAAAAATTAAGCAACTTGGACACCAAATTACTATGGGATCAGTCAAGATTCAATCAAAGTCAGGCCTTCCAAAGCCACTGAGGATGGAAACCATACTCGCTGTGTGCCAATGCTTGGCCCTCCTTTCAAAGAGAGCAAGGTCCTGAGTAGAAAGCAATGGGACAGGAAAAGGGGACTGCAGGAACATCATGATGCCTGTAAAAAAATCCACTTGCACCGGGCGTTGGTGGCGCATGCCTTTAGTCCCAGCACTCAGAAAGCAGAGGCAGGCGGATCTCTGTGAGTTGGAGGCCAGCCTGGTCTAGAGAGAGTTCCAGGACAGGTTCCAAAGCTATACAGAGTAACCCTGTCCCCAATTAGAAGAAGAAAGAAAAACAAACAAACAAAAAACAAAAAAACCAAAAAACAAACACTCCACCTGCAGCAGCAGGAAACATACATGTAAAAGAGGCAACGCTGGCACATTGGGTTCTGTCCTGTTGCAGTCTTTGGGAAATACTCAACACCCTGAGAGTGACTTACCTTGAAATCACCCAGGACCCTGCTCTTGGCCACCTTTCAACAACAGCCAAGAAAGACACACCCCAAATGAGATAAAAACAGACTTAGAGCTGAAGAGGCATTCAGGACAATGGCTGACACACTGCTTGACTTTTGAATGTACTTACTTTGACCACCATAGGGTGTTCCACCATAAAAACAAGCCACTGACAGCTTTTTTGTGATGTCACTAAAGTCTTTGCTCACTTGATTTGCTAATTCTCTTGTAGGTGCAAGAACTAGTACCTGAAAGAGAAGAAACAAAGAATTTCAAGTGTTGTGCAATTTGTTCCTCAGCCACTCCAGAATCCACCACACTGATCAACTCATCCCACTTATCTTTTTTTAAAGGTTTTCTTATTTTTATTTTCTGTGCACCACATATATGCAGTGCCCACAAAAGCCAGGAGAGGACAGTTGTTCCCCTGGAACTGGAGTTTAAAGGATGTGAGTCACCAGGTGGGAGCAGAGAACTGAACCTACCTGGGGCCTGTGGAAAAGCAGCCAGAGCTTTTATCTGTTGGGCAATCTCTCCAGACCCCCATTCTACTCATTTTGATACATACTCAAAATATTTATCATGTGCTTTGCAATAAATACCACATGCTACATGGACAGGACAAGACAGTTGCCAGGCAATATTCTAAGAGACCGTGACCAAGCCAATTAGAAGCAGGTGTCCAAAAGTGTGCTGTTCCAGAGGAGAGCTGCAGTTTCAGGAAAATAGCGTGGCGGAGCTATACTAACATTAGCTGATGTCCCAGTTTTCCCAGGTGCCTTATGCACTGAAAAATACTTTCTATTCATTAGTCTGATTTAATTCTCAGCAACTTTTGAGGCAGATATTGAAGATGGAGGCCAAGCCCAGACTTAAACTACAACCTGTCAACCGGCAAGGCCAACACTTGTAGATGGGTTCTTCTATCACTCACTGATTTCATTATTGATAATAGAAAAACAATAACCCAGAAACCAGTCATGGTATTACATGCCTTTATAACCCCAGCAACCAAGAGGCAGAGGCAGGTGGATGTCCATGAGCTGGAGGCCAGCCCAGTCTACATAGAGACCATGTCTTGAATAAATAACTAAAACCCAGGATCAAGTCTTTGAGTCCCAAGCTCATCCAACATTTAAAGGGAATGTGCATGTACAGTAAGTATGAATGGACACAAACACAGGACCGATTACACATACAGAGTTGATGGCCAGAATCCAAAAGAATCACCCCAACCTATGTTCAGATGAATTCGGTGATCACAAGGACCTTGAAGGAACCCAATACTAAGTAACATATGCAAATCCCCACTTGTGCTTCTGGGAGCTGACCTGTGACCTGGGATGAACTAAAGATTGTTACCTGGGGGGCACGGCCTCTCTTCCTGTCTTGTAGCCCAGCCTGAAGCTTCTCAATCAGAGGGATGGCAAAGGAGAATGTTTTCCCAGTTCCTGTCCGTGCCTGGGCAATTAAGTCTTTCCCACTGTACACATGGTGGAATGTCTTGGCTTGTATAGGAAACAGGAAGTTTACTCCACGAGCTGTGAATGAATCAATCATGTTACTGGCCATTGATTTTTTTTGTTTTATTTTCAGTGTTAGTAAGCAAACTTTGAGGTTTTGTTGAAATACTAATACCAACTTAAACGCATCCATACGTCTGGTCCTACAGAAAGAAGTAGGGAACTCCACTTTTCCCCAGCTTCTACAAGTTAGGTACAAATACATTCTGAGAAGAACCCAGGTACTGAAAAGTATTAATGATCTTTTACTTGTGATCAAATCTCATCCACCAGCTCATCTGAACCTGAAAGATTGAGGTTCTACATTCTATACCGAGCTGTGAGAGTGAAGCATCTCCAACGTCTCAGCTGGTTCAGAGACAGACCCAAGGCCTCAAGACACCCTGGTAACATTAACCTCAGGTGGGAAAAGACAGATGACAGAAACTTGTTGTCAGCCATCGAATTTCTGGATGTTGATTATATCTTAATAACCGAACCAAAACAGCACAGTCCTATTGGTAATGCCTAAGTCTACTCCACTGTGGCACAGTAAGAACTGATTCCCCCCCCCCAATTCACGACAAAGGAGAGAGTGAATTCAAATTCTGACAAAAGGGAACCTCACCTCTGAGAAGCTTGACAGTCTCTTCAGATATGGGAAAGTTAGAGAAAGCTCCTTCTTTCTGTTCCACCGGTATTTCCTATCAAAGAGAAAGACCACAGAAATCATTAAGTCCCATGCACATGAATGCAGGATGCCATCTGTCAAGAGACAGCCCATTCTTATCCAACTATGTGGGAAAGGCTGCCAAAGCCCAAGGAAGAGAGTTTTATCAGCAGAACCCACAGGGTAGACAGAGAACCAACTCCATAAGTTGTCCAAATTCCACACACACACCATGGTAAGTGCTCCAGTCCACCACAAAAACCCAGTGCCCTTTAAAAAAGACAAACAAGCTCTTCCAAACACACCAGTCTAAAAAACCAATCAAAGAAGGGCTAGTAAGATGACTTGGAAGGGGGCAGTGCTTGCTGTCTTAGCCTAGAATGACAACGGAGTTGAATCCTTAAACACTATGGTGGTGAAACAATTCCTGGAAGTTTCCCTCACCTCCAGAGAAACACTTTTTTTGTGTTTTCTCTGTGCGCTATACAATGAGTTCAAGGCCAGGATTGGACTATATACAGCAAGACCCTGTCTCAACCTGCCTCAACGTCTAATAAAGATAAAGAGGATGGGTGTGTGCCTTTATTCTTAGAATTTGAGAGGCAGAAGCAGGCAGATCTCTGTGAATTCTATAAGTCCTCATCATTAAAAAAAACAAAACAAAACAAAAACAATTGGTGGTGGCACACACCTTTAAACCTAGCACTCAGAAGACAGATCTCAGTGTTTAAAGCCAGCCTGTCTACAGAGTGAGTTCCAGGAAAGCCAGGGCTACACAGAGAAACAGTGTCAGAGGAGGCGGGAATTATCTCTCTGGTGCAAAGTTCCACCCCACAGCTTTATACAACTCAATGAGGTGCTGACAAATCAAATTTCCATCTACTATTAAAATAACATGTGTGCTCAATGCCCTGGGTTCAACCTCTACCCAAACAATTTTAAAATGTTTCCAATTATGTGTAGCAATAACCTATTCTCCTGAAGCAATGGAATACCATCTACCTACTCTAGTACAACTTTGCCAGCTGGTGAGACAGCAGTGGCTAAGATGCTCATTCATCACCAAGTCGCCAAGTTCAATCCCCAGGACCCACATAGTGGAGGGAGAGAATGAGCTCCTACACAGACACACACCCACACACCCCAAAAGGGAAGCTTAGCCTTACCTTCTCTGCCTCACTACTACTTTCTTCACCAGTAGCTTCTTTGGCAGTGGAATTCGACTCAGAATGAGAGAATCCATTCTTGAGCTTGGGGCTTTTCTCTCCAACATCTCCATTTGCTTCCTTCTCTTTCTTCGTCTTCTTGGACTTAGGAACATCTGCATCTTCCTCAGAAAGCTCCTCAATTTTTATTTCTTTGGTTTTAGCAGGGGCCACTTTCTTCTCAAGGGGCTCCTTTTTCTTCTTGGAGGTTTTGCTTTTAGAAGCAATGTCTTCTTGAGGTGCCTCCTCTTGCTTTTTGGTCTTCTTAGACTTGGGGGGACCCACATCATCTTCAAAATGCCCTTTCTTTTTAACCGATTTAGCTTTGGAGGAAACAGTTTCTTCCATTCCTTTTGCTGCTTCTTCAGTCTTAGATTTTGTCCTCTCTTTTCTAGTTTTCTAAAATATTAATAAAGACACAGCACTGAACAAACCCACTATACCTGTGTAAAATTAACCAATTCTGGGTTATTTCAGGACTATTTATAAAGAACACAGCTTTAGGCATTTTAACATTGTATGAGTTAAAAAAAAAAATCTGCTCTGAAATTATACACATACAAGTAACATGTGAACTCAGCAGGATGTATTTAGGAATGTGTATGTGTGGGATCATGTGTGTGCAAGCAATTTGGAGTGTGAACAATTCAAAAGGATATCATGAATTTTAAAGAGAGCAAGGTTGGGGTTACATGGGTAGGGGTTAGGGAAAGGCAAATTATGTAATAATAATTTTTAGAGACAAGGTCTTACTATATAAAACTGGCCGTCCTGGACTCACTCTAAACCAGGCGCCTTGAACTCACAGAGATCTGCTTGTTTCTGCTTCCCAAATGCTAGCATTAAACGTGGGCACCACTATGCTTGGCTTAATAATATTATAATTTTAAAAAGTCAAAAAAGAAAAATAGTTAAAAACCCACACAGCATGTTTTAAAATAATTTCTTAGCTCAGTGGAGAGATGTATTTATATAATAGTCATATTAACATGGGGGGGGGTAAAATAACTCCTCAGTGATTCTTCAGTTCATTCTGGCCAATCATTATAAAACTTGAGTTTTCCCAAGAGATTTTTAAGGTATCCCCAAGACTCATTGCAAAAAGTGACCCAGAACCTGGGAAATGGTTCAGGGGCAAAATGCCTACAGTGCAAGAATGAGAACTTGAACTGGAAACAAGGTGGGTGTAGGGGCCTGTCACCCCAGCTGGTGGGGCTGGAGTTGGGAGCTAGCCAGCCTAGGTGAATTGGAGGAGTCCAGGTTCAGAGAGAAACTTGGTCCCCGGTAGTAAAGTGGGAACTGTTAAAGACACCCACCCAGCGTTGACCACTGGTTTCCACACACGCAGGAGCAAGCAAACCCAGTCAGTAATACAGCACCTGCCAACATGTGAATGGCCTGATACCACAAAAAAAAAATCTTAAAAATAATAATTATGGATAATCATCCCGCACCTTAAACACCTGTTACCTATGTGAAAAACAGCCAGGAAGTTGAGTTTGGAACCTAAACGAGTAGTCAGGCCCCTCCCTCTTGACTTAAGCATCTCACAGCTGAACACGCGGGTGCAAACCGGGAAAGCTTTGCCCCATGCGGTTTACACCTTATCCAATTATATTACTGTTTCTTTAAAAGACTCATACCTAAAAACCACCCGAGACTGCAAAACGTGATTTAAGTCGTACAACACAGGTGTTCTGGAACAACCGTCGTTCCCTTCCACTTTGATCATTAGAGACTGTCTGTCACCTTTAATCTTCTCATTCAAGGAATTTAATAGGAGCGAAGGCGATTTAACCTTGCTCACAGATTCCCTCTGTAAGAGGTCTTCAATTGCCCAACTCCAATTCCACGCAGATCTGAGCGATAAATACTAAAAACCGCATCACCTCATTATCTGAGCTTTTTTTTCCTTCTTAAAGAGGGTACCGTGTGTGTGCGTGTCACTGCAGATGACGCGCGTGTGCCCAAGCTTCAGGCCATGCTGTCTGCGACTCCAGTCCTCACTGTGACGCGATCTGGAATCCCTTCCGCACTCTCAAGCCCGGCCAGGAACGCGTGGCCTTGAACGCGCCAGCCGGCCCGGCGTGTCAAAGCGGCCCGCGGAGCAAGGGGCCACGCGCTCCCGGCCCGGCCGCAGTCCCGAATCTCACCTTCTCGCTTGGCAACGTCTCCATGCCTTCCTCGGCCACGACTGATCCCAACCTAGACTCACTACGGAGTTTTCCCGGCATTATTCAGCACCAGCAGCACAGGCCTACCGGTTTCCTCCACCGCGTGCAAAGGAGAGAGAGGGGGAAAGCGCACGCCTCTCAACCCGCCCTAGGTCGTCACTTCCGTAAACGGGCGCATCCGGCGGAAGCAGCGAACACCCGGAAAGCTCCGGTTCGCTCGGCCGTGGATGGCATTGGTAAAAGCAACGTGTGGCTCTCTTGATGTTCTTATTTAACTATATATAGCCGGATTCCCACCCGGCCCTGTGAGATAAACACGTCTAGCCAGCTAGAACTAACCTGCTGCCTCCATTTATCAAGTCTGGGATTATCGGCAGGCAACTTTTTCTCGCGAACAAAAGTCTTGCGATATGTATCTTTAATCCCTTGTGGATGAAGGAGACAGCTAAACCCAGATGCTTTGGTGAGCACCAGAATTCAGGGGCCAGCGAGACAGCTCAGGTCTTGTAACCTGAAATTGCGATCCCTGGAATACACAACCGACTGCACAGTTGTCTTTCACGCGCGCGTGCCGTGGCACCATGGACAACCCATATGCAGGCCGCACAATATGAGCAACCTAAAAGAACCAGAATTGGCAAGGTTTAGGGTGCACGCCCTTAATCCCAGCACTTAGAGGTGGGTAGATCTCTAAATATGAGTTCATCCTGGTGCACACTTCAAGGTTTGTGCTGGCTTGGTTTGGTTTTCATGGGACAAGGTTTTTCTGTGTAACAGACCTGGCTGTCCGGAAGCTTTGTAAACCAGGTTGGCCTCAAACTCAGCGTTCTGCCTGCCTGTGCCCCGAGTGCTAGTGTTAAAGGTTGGGTGTGTGCCATCACACCTGGCTACATTTTTTTTAAGGTAGAAGCTATTACTTAATTTTGTTAAAACCCCTGCTGATAAAAGTATTCTTTAGTAGGTAGATCTTTCAAATCCACCTTGCTACTAGCATTTACCTACATGCTTCTACCTCAGTCTGTTACATAAACCCCTTCAGTGGCGGTTCAAAATAACCTAGAAAGCCCTCCAGTGTTGGCTCACCACTGCCTTGCTCAGGGAAGGCCACAGCCATCATAAGAGCTACTCATAGTTGACAATACTTAGACAATGTTAGTGTCTTTAGCTCTTTTGTTGGTTTTCTATGTATGTGGTCTGTGTGGTTGTGCACATGCCTTCTGTTGCCCTTGGAGACCAGAAGAGGACACTGGATGCCTTGAAGCTGGAGGTAAAGGCAGTTGTAAACCACTTGTGCAGGGAACATAACTCGGTTTTTCTGCAGCATTCCTTTTAAGATGAGCCATCTCTCTTCAGTCCCTGGCCCTAAACCACCACCACCCTTTTTAACACCTGCCAGCTAAAACTGAATTATATCTCAGAATTTCTGGGCTGAGGGTATCCTTGGTCTTTGAATTTTATTGGCCTTCAGTCTAGCCCTCCTCCAACATGCTCGGTCTCTATGAAGCCAGTAATCTTTCTGAAATACAAACCTAACCATGTTACTCCTCAGGACTGGAGAAATGGCTCAGCAGTTAAGTGCACGGACTGCTTTTTTTGTTTGTTTGTTTTAAAGAGAACATAGGTTCAATTCCTAGCAACTATATGAGAGCACACAAATGTCTGTAAGTCTGGTTCCAGGAGATCCAACACCCTCTTCTGGCCTCCAACGGTATACATACCGGCAACACACAATATTAATAATAAAAGAAACTAATCCTTTCTGACCTTACAACCTTTGTAATGTTCTTCACATTGTACTCAGTCAAAATGTCTTTTAACATTGGATAATTTTAAATATTCAATCTTCTTTCTTCCTCTTGCCCTTAGCCTACAATATGCAAACCACACTGAACTGTTTCTTTAGACTTATCCCTGGACTCCTGTATACATTGTTCTCTCTGCCTGCAAGTCTTAGCCTTCTAAAGTCATCTGTCTGGTGATAGTGACTGCAAGCAACTCTAGGCTACAAAAAAGCTTAAAAAACAAAACTTACTAAAAAACAAGACACAAAAGTAACTAAACACACTCTCTCATATATATGAACAGAGGATGGGATAACAGGTAAGATTTTCTTCTAAAGTCTTCCTGAATCTTAAAACTAAGTAGGTACACCCTAGTCCCTAGTCCTCTGCTTTAGTCTTGATCTTTATTCATTCATGTCTATTATAATTGGCTGATTGTTAGTTTTATGAAACCAATGACTATTCCCTTTTTATAAATGTGTGCTCTAGTAACTACCAGAAAGTAGATATACATTTGATAAATAAAGAAGTGTAAATTGCTTGCATACCTACCTACCTGAATCTGTCTAAAAAGTTAAACTGGTACATTTCACCAAACATGTCACCAGTTAACACCACTTAAAGTGGAAAGGGTTTCATCTTATCACACAAGCTATGGATGAATGACCTAACATTAATATACCACACTTTGCGGTGTGCACCTTTTATCCCAGCACTTGGGAGACAGAGGCAGGCAGATCTGAGTTTGAGGTCAGCCTAATCTACAGAGTGAGTTCCAGGATAGCCAGGGCTACACAGAGAAATCCTGTATTAAAAAACCAGAAACCTAAAGACTACCACATCATAGAAGAAATTTTAAAAGTACATTGAGAAAATTCTTCACACAGAATGAAAACAGACAATAAAAGGGGCTTTTTAATTCAAAGGTATAGCTGGATAAGTAGATTTGTTTACAACCATTCTTGTGAAATACTTTTTAAAAAAATACGACCAACTTCTTTGCAAATTACAGACAAATACCTCAACTATGATGGCCTAATTTTTGGTGAATAATATACATGATTAGACAGAAATAGGCAAGCTCACACTGGAAGATTAACTATCAAACACTTAGTCAAAACTCCGTTTATGGCCCCCACTTCTTGATCGATTTCTGTTCCCATTTCGTCTTCTACCATCTTGCCGACTTCCTGACCGACTCCCCTGTCGACTCTGTCTACCTGATCGGCCACCAGATCGACCACCAGACCGGCCTGAACGGCCCGACCTGCCACCTGACCAGCCACCCCTCTGTCTGGGATTAGAAGCTGTGTTTCCATCATAATATTCTTCAATTTCTGGTAATTTGGCTGGCACTGAGAGTATCCAGTCTGAATCGTGCCACTCTGCCTGTTAAAGGAATATACAGGATTAACAGAAATGCAAAATAAAACACATAAACAAGTGAGTTTTAGTTACTAATGAAGGGCATTTTCCCCTTGAAGTGTCAAGAAAATTAGCAAAACAGTAACATGTTCAAATTTTAATCTCAAAAGGAGATTTCTGCCACTTCTCAGCCTTCTGGTTAAGATTAAGTCAGAGAAACCATCAAACCCTTTTCAAGATTCTACATCCCTACTCATAACAGTTATGTTTTCTAAAAGACGGTATCTTTCTCAGGACAAAGAAACAGACCATTAATAAGCAGTGAAGTATTATAAGCGACTACATCAACAGGACCACAAGTAAAACCTGACATTAGTCAATGAGGGAACATCTAAGTTCAAGGACTGCCTAGGCTACTACTGAGTTAATTTAAGGCCAGCATAAGCAAGTTAGTGAGACCCTGTCTCACAACAAAAAGGAAAAAGGGGGCTAGAGCACTTGCCTAGCATTCATGAAGAATCCTGAGTTCAACTCCCAATTACTACCACCCCCAAAAGGATCTACAATATTTCTTTAAACTTTAAGTAAATGTTCTTTTTTACTTTTTGTGTATGTGGATTTTTGTCTGGATATAACTGGGCGTGTATTTGGAGGGCAGATGACAACTGTGAGGAGTTGGTTTTCTTTCACCTTTCACCTCTGGGCCTTCTCATTGGTTCCTAGTATCCACAATATTTTAAAGACTCCATATAGAGTACAGTCAGGGCTGCTGATGTCTGAGTGGGTAAAAGTGCTTGCTACCAACACATGACTATGCCTAGGAACCACATGGTTAGGAGAGACCCAACTCCACAAGTTGTCTTTTGAACTCATAGATTCCACAGTGTGCACATGCCCCAACCCACACATAAATGAATGTAATAAACAACAGAATCTCATTATTTCAAAATAGGTATATGGATAAGCTATATATGGCACATATAAGTATCAAGTTTGAGCCATATATTAAGTTCCAAGCTTGCTTGGGCTAGATAATAGGACTTTTGTTTCAGTACTAACTACCTCCCAAAATGTACATAAAACAAAGGCATAGAAGACAAAATTCTTGACTATAAGAATATAGTAGGATGGCCAGTGGTGGCCCACACCTTTAATCCCAGCACTTGGAAGGCAGAGGCAGGCGGATCTCTGAGTTTGAGGTTAGCCTGGTCTACAATCAAGTTCCAAGATAGCCAGGGCTATACAGAGAAAACTTGTCTCAGAAAATATAAAGTCAGTAAGGCTATGGGGAAGCCCAGTGTTAACCTATCATGTATAAGATCCTAGCTTCCAACTTGAGAATAGCAAAGAAAGATAACCAAGAGACAAAAGTGAAAATTTAAATAAACATATTAAAGAATATTTGTATAGAAGGAATTCTATTACAACTATGTTTAAATCCCTAAAATTTAAATATGTAGGAATAGTTAAGATTGAAATGACAAGGGGGCTAGAAAACTGGCTCAGCGGTTAAGGCACTGACTGCTTTTCCAGAGGACCTGGGTTCAATTCCCTACATGTACATGACAGCTCACAACTGTCTGTAACTCCAATTATAGGGGATCTGGCATCCTCACACAGATGTGCACATAAAACACCAATGTACATAAAATAAAAAATACAGTTAAAAAAAAAAGATGGAAATGACAAAAAGTCTGGTGTTTGTCTACTATAAACAGTGAAAATGGACAAAGGATTTGCTAAAACTATCCACAAAATTATCAAAGTGTTGAAGCTGGTTATGTACTTATTGTGACTCATTAAAGAATTTTTTGTGAACCCTTCTTGTGGATGTAGGGAATGGAACCTGGGTCCTCTGTAAGAAGTAAAGTGGTTAAGACTCTGTAGCCCCCAATTATCATTTATGTTTGAAATTACCCATAATAAAATTTTA